CGTTCTGTGGTGTCCTGCAGTACGAGGGGGAATTGCACCGGTACCGTGAGCGCTCCTGTGCTTTAGGGTAATGGTGGAGAAGAGTCATGGTGGAAAATAGGCCCTGGGACTGCACCCATCCTGTCGCTGTAAAGTGTCTTAAAGAAAAAAACAAAACAGCTGAGCAGGAAAAGCGTGTCTTGGCTCTGCTGATGCTTCAGGTGCACTGAGGATTTTGAGTTAAGCGCAGAAGTCAGCACGGAGCATAGGAAAGGGTAGCGATGTGATTGGGGAGTGATGAGGCTTCAGTTACAGTCGGGGATCAAAGCAGAATGGCGTGGCTCTTTAATGAGAGAAAATAATGACAGAGTTTAGGCTGACAACCAGGAAAATTTCTGATGTAGGTCTGTTTTGCTTTAAGTGCAAACTTAGGACTTTGGTTGGGTTTAGTTGTAATGCCTGTAGCTACTCTTGTGGTCGTTCTTTTGTGCCCATTATAGCTGTATCATAATGTTGAAACAAAAATCAAAAACAGCCCTTCAGATCACAAGGGTGTAGATTTGTAATTGTGGCAGGAAAAAAAAATTCTCTCCTTTTAAATGAGAACAGACAAGTACAATTGTAAATTTTGTGAATCAAGATACTGTTATTTGACCTTTGCTCTGTGTCAGATATCTATCTGTGGAAATTCTGAAAACTGAAGCTTGTGTTGCTAGTGTAAGTATTATTCTGTGAAGCACTGAACTCTTAATTTTGGTAACTAATCACTTTCCTGAGACCCGCGTGCCTTGTGAATGAACTTTTTCTTGCTTCTGCAATGTAAGCAAAGCTTTCCACAAGAAAAGGTTTCTTATTAACTCATGTTCCGGTCGTCTTTGAGGTTAGGGCCATTTCTCTCAAAAATTATTAAACTCCAACAATTTTAGCGTCAGTGCTTGAGATGTCTCAAACTTAAGTCCTCGTCTTAAATATTGATCTTTTTTATTTAAGGCTTTGTTGATTTACAATAGATAGAAGATTTACAGTATACAGAGGGTAATAGCGAGTAGAATTTTTCTTAGGTGCACATTATACATTTTGTTTGGTAAGATTTTTTTATACCCCTTAAAGGGATAAATAGAAGTGGGATCTCCTTACTGACTGGACAATACTAAAGAAAGGAAAAAAAATTAGATCCATGGGCAGATTAAGCTATTTTTTACAAACTTTAAAAAGGCTTTCCAACTCCAGTGGAACCCTTTGTTTTCTTGCCTATGTCTCAGAATAGAATTGGTGTTTTATTAAAATTATTTGAAAAATGTTAGTATATGGAATCTCTCTTTTGTAAAATGTATAGTTGAAGCATGGAGGTTGTGCTTAAAAAAAAAAAAAAAGTAGGGGGAACTAAGCCATACATGAGAGTTCTTATTGTCTGAAAATATTAATGAAGAGTAAGGAATTCTTTGGTGTATCTTTTGTTGAAGTAATTGTGCCAGAATAGGTCTGCTCAGAGATAGATGCCTTTTCTCTGCATTCAGTGTAAGTTCAGCTGATTTTGGTGGCAAAGAAAATTTTTCGTTTATTTGCCATTCAGGTAGTCCTGAAAAGTCAATACTGTTACAGGAGCTGAACTGGTATCAGGGCTGTGGCAAGGACAAACTCCTTCCGGTGACACCTACGAAACGCAGAATCCCCCACAGTGGCATTACATAAGTACATAGGAAACTTTTAAAGTCTAGCAACAAGGTTTCTGCTAGCAACACTTGAACAGGAAAGAGCACAGTGAACTGCTGAGGATACCCGGACTCCAGTGTTGACTTGGGGGGGATTTAGCTCTGAATGGGG